GAGTTCTTCTCAAAAGGAATAAAATTCTTGTGTTAGATGAAGCTACTGCTTCTATTGACTCTACCATAGATGCCATTCTTCAAAAAGTTATAAGGCAAGAATTTACAGAATGCACAGTTATAACTATTGCTCACAGAGTTCCAACTATAATTGACAGTGACATGGTTATGGTTCTCTCTTATGGTAAGCTAGTTATTTCCTCCTATACTAAATATAATGTACTCTACTTGTATCCAAAAACTTAGATTGGTTTCAAATAATCATGAAAAGTAGATCTTCTCTTTGGTTGCTAATATTGGCCAAATCCTTGGTGACTATAGGGGAACTAGTGGAGTATGATAAGCCTTCAAAGCTTATGAAGACAAACTCTTCATTCTCAAAGCTGGTGGCAGAATATTGGTCCTCCTACAAGAAAAATGCTTCTCAAAGTGCAAGCATACATTAAGAACAACATTGTGTTTTTTGTCCAAAAATGCTTCATTATTTGTTTTAGGCAACAGTTATCTTTCATTTTTGTTTAGGCCATGGCATTTAAAGTTTCCTCTTAATGTATTGTATTATAAACTCTTTATTGCACAAAATGCTTCAAGTTGAATTTCACTTACAAGGTTTTAGTCTTCAACAGCTCTTTTTTGTTTTCATATGTCGTGACAAATAATTAAAAGATAATATGCAAAATTGGGCCAATTTGATATCTAAAAAGTACGTTTCATTTAAGTTCTAGAACAAACTTTTGACAATGACTTGCATAAACTATAACAAAGTGATAATTAATTGTAGCATAATGAAGAAAATGACAAAGCATTTTATTATCAATTCCTTGATAAGAGTAGAGACTTTAAGTCTCTCAATTACTAAGCTTTAACTGTTTCTTGAAATTTATTTATTAATTCCAATGACTGTTTAATTAATTTTGGAGAAAAGGTTTAAATGCATCTTTCTATTCTGTATTGAAAGAAAATAAGCTAATAAGCTAAATCTTTTATTTATTTGATTTTTCCCCCTTGAAAAATCAAAGAATATGAAACACCTAATTATCAAGGAGCAAGGAGCCAAGGAGGAGACATGGAGGGAACAAAGTTGCATTTATTTTGAATGCCAAGTGATTAAATTCTAAATTTGTGTAGAAGGCCACAGAAGTTGAGAAGTTTCAAAAAAAAAAAATAAAAGCCTTGAATGTTGTGGGACAAAAGTGTCATTGTCGTCATCATCATCTTTTTTAATTTTTAATAGAAGCACCTAATATTTGAAAGACAATGAATGATTACTAATCTATATCAAACAATGTAGAACTATAAAAGGTTAAAGGTAAACAATATTTTTGAAGTGTGCACGAAGGGTCATAATGATCCTAAATTTAATTCTAGATCATTTATATTCTTCAACCTCAAAAATTTTTTGTATCATCACCTCACCATTTCTTTCATATATTTTTTCATTAGTGGGCCCTTTTTTTAATTTTTTTAATTTTTATTATAAAATATTACTTGTAAGCCCACATGCATTGCTTTTTTATATTTTTTTTATCCTTTCCCAATCTCTCTCCTCTCCCCTCTTCTCCTCTCTCTCCCTTACGTCTGCATGATCTCTCTGCTCCCCATATTCCACATTACCTCTTCTTCCTCCCTCCTCCTCCTCTCTCTCTCCATCTACACACCTCTCTCACTTCTCTCTATCTCTCTTTCCCCCTAGCTCATTTCTTTCATTCTGCCTCTTTTTTTATTCAAAAAATAAGGGTAAATAAATGCATGAGAAGACGGCTTCCTTATATTGAGTTAGCAAGAGAGTGTGTAATATAAAGCATGAACTTTAGAAAAGTGGTAAAGAAGATAGTGGTAGGAACCCTCAACTTGATGGCTACGTCTATCATGGTGGTGCAGAACATGCACCACGAACTCGATAAGTTAGGATGAGTCTAAGCCTGAGGTAAGTTTGCAGGGAAGCTAAACCAATCTAAACTCAGTCTAGAACTAGATGGCCAGTATGGAGGAGAGAGAGGGCTCTAAGACTAGGAATAGATGAAGCTTATAGAATGTAGCAAGATAACTCCATGTAACTCCATGAAGAGAGAGAGTCGGAGAGGTCATCAGAATGCTAGAAACTGTTAGTGTTGCCAATGTAAGGAAGATCGATAATCCATATTTGCTATACTAGAGTAATGACCCCTACGAGACCTTATTCCATTACAATAACAACACCCTCATGCATGCAGGTAGGTTCTCGACATGCATGCCTAGGAGGAACCACCATCTTTGTTTTTTGACACACAAAAAATGAGGGAGAATAGGACTAGATCAACTGCTGGCGAAGGGATAGTAGAACACTAAGGTCTCTCAGCCAAAGCTTTTTTGGTCACCTTTACCGAACCCACCATCTTTAGTTGATGCCAACAAATTGCGATGTAGGTTGCTTGGAGATGGAGAGAGAATGGTAAAGAGAGAGAGAAAAGGAGAGACAATAGGGAGGAGACGAAGAAGAGGGTGTGGTGGAGAGAGAAAAGGAGAGAGACTGGAGGAGAGAGAATTTTTTTATATTATAAAAAATATTTTAAAAATTGTGGGACCTACAATTAAATATTTTATAATAAAAAATTTAAATATGGGGCCCATATAATGGAAAAATAATGTTAAGGGCATAGTAGAGTAAATTTTTAAAGTTAAAGAAAAAGATTGACCCCAAATTGAGTTTAGGGTTATTTATGATCCTTCATGTATACTTTAGATATATTTTTAACCCTTAATCCAACTATAAAAGTAACAAAGATCCACCAATGAGTTTTCAATGCAACGGCATACTCTTAGCTCAAATCCAAGGACATTGATTAAACTAGCACAACCTATTGCTAGTCAAGTTATACACTTAGTAAAGTCACATCATATCTGCCAGTAATTTCGTAGCCTAAAAGCTCCCCCATAAGTGAGAGGTCACAGGTTTTAATCTCGGATCATTAATGTCTATCCTCTAATTCAAAAATTTAGAAAAGTGATATCATATTTTAGATGAACATCGATAGCCACAATATTTGAATATCACTCTTATTTCTGCGTCTTTCCTTCTGTTTCCAAATTGTAACAAGTAGCAAGTGCATCCAGAATTTGGGTGTGATTGTTTTAGCATTTATGGCCATTAATATTTATTTGTTTGTTTGTTTTTTTGGTTGAAGTTGACATTGGAAGGTTGAAGTACATTGATTTGATCCTTTTCTTTTGGCTAAAAATTGATTTAATACTTATTAAAATTAATTAGTGTGGACCCCTAAATGAGGGGTATCTGATATTGAAGGAAGACCATTTGGGCATTGGTCCCCATTCCAGATCTTAAGTGCCTTTTAGATAGGTTGTGGATGAAAAATATCCAACATTCAAATTATTTTGTTTGGATCAATGTTTAAGTGGTAGGGACGATTATAGAGGAAATTTGGGCAGAGTTGTTTTCGTGACCATTCTCTCTCTTACCTACTAAACGCACTATTGCATTGTATTTTTTAAGGCTTCTATGTATGAAATATTTACCATCTTGTCATAGGGTCTTTTCTTTTCTTTTTTTTATTTTTTCCCTTTTCTTTTCATCACTCTTGAATTAAAATTCTGAACAATTATGATTTAATACCAGTTTAAATAAAAGAAGTTGAAAAAAATAACTTAAAATCAAAACCGTTGATAGTTTTAATTCAAGGGTAATAAAGGGAAAAGGAGATGTTGATCTCCCAAATTTTAATGAGCAAGAGAGGAGTTGAACTCCAAGATGAGAGTCTCTGAGCCGACTAAAACAAAAAACAAAGTTGAAGCTTGGCAATACTGATGATCTTGTTGCAGCTGAGAGAGATGCTGGCATTGAATGAAAGTGAATCTTAATGTATTAATAAAATTAATAATAAGGATTCTTTTATTACTCATGGGTATTTTTTTATTAGAGACAATTTTATACAAGACACAATTCGACACTAAATACCAGCACCTCTTCTAATGTAGATTCGAACCTTGGTTCGCTAAGGTTGTGAAGGACTGCCCCTTTCACTAGACTTGACTCGTGTTAGTATAACAAGGATTTATTATAGAAGAAATAATTTATAAAATATCAACATATCTTAATTTAATTGGAAACAATTACATTAAGTATATAAGGTTAATTATTTAAGTTTTTCCCTTCAAAAAATTATTATAATAATTTTACATGTATATATATGAACTTTTAAATTTGATATAAAGAATTTAAAACTACAATATTTTTATTTTATAATAATAATTTTATCAAAAATTAAATCAAAATTGTTAAAGCTTTGATCTATTGATGATGGAAAGAAAAGGAGGGACCCTCTCCCAGCTCAAGTCAACGTCTCTCTCCCATTTTTCTTTTGTTAGTTATTCCGCTTTTCTCTTTTTCACATTTTTCTCTCTTACCAAGTGTAGCATTAAGCTAATGATTGAAAGTTTGAATCTCAACTATTATGTATGTTGCAACTTAATTGAAAAATAATCTACCAATTGCTCAATCTTGGGGGGATAATATTTACTGTCAGTGCAATTTATTATTTATATTTGAAAAAAAAAGTTTTTATTGGTAAGAGATACGGATACTCCTTATCAATCGACCATACAACATTTGGCTTAAGTTTGCTAACATTTTTGCTGGGAATAGAGAGAGAACATGCAAATAGGATAGGTTGATTGGGATGAAAATGGAATTAGAGATTTTTTATTAAGAGGAGAGAATGATAATATTAATTAATGAAAAGGTAGTTTTAGAATCTTTTATAAAATATTCTTGATGATATTAGAAATTAAACTAAAATGTATGATGAAAATTGAAGAGAAAATCTATGTAATTTTAGAAAAGCTGAACAGGAAAATCAGTATATTTTACTCCATCTATTATATATACATATATATGATTGATGTTGATAATATTGATATCAAACAAAATATTTATTCAACGCTTAAGATTGAAAAAATATATTAACATAATGGCCCCCAACAGAGAGAGAAAGAATAAGGGAGAAATTTAGAGAGGAAATGATTAACTTCATTTAATCATTTTTTATACTTCATATCAGGGGCAACAAGAAAAACAGAGTCATCTCACTTGACCCCGTTGATGATAACCCTTCTCACACCACACTCTTCAAAAATGCCAAACAAGAAAAAACAATTGTATGGCAGATTGGCAGAGATGAAGAGAAGAATCTCACAATTGTCCACGCTCCTTTCTGAATCAGGAATTCTGTAATTTCTTTTAATTATTGCACGCTATAACTACAGTCCTTCTTGGACCAGTTACACCACTAGACACATCAGTTAAACCTGATTTAGTGTTTTTTTTTTTTAAAGGACTCTTTGAATTGTGTTACATTTTCAAAGATGTTAATTCATTATTGAATCAGCCATTACTGCTGAACTCGGAGGAGAGATTGAGGCAGAGCCTCATGAACATACACAGACAGAGTCTGCAACTTGCAATCAGGTGAGATGAGCTGAGATGCTTTTTCTTCCTTGGAGATCTTGTTGATCAACTGAATCAAAACCCTCTCAAGCTCTTCCCCGTCACTCCAATCATGGATCTCAGCCTTCACAAGCAAATGGTCTTTGCATATCAAGTCCCACAAGGGAAAGTTCTTCCTTGGCATCACAAAGTCTCTCTCTTTCAGCCTCAAACTTGGACAGTAGTCCCCACTTCCATCACCAAGATAGATGAACCTCTTGCTTTCTCCAGGGGATATTGAATCTTGAATCCTCTCTATGATCAGACCCTGTATTGGAATATAGATTCAATCACTCAGAAATATATATATATATATATATTAAACACAAAAATATAACTTGCACGATCAGATGTTAATTGATGATTGATTACATTATTCTAATGTGGAAATTTTTAAATTTATTGCTTATTTTGACTATTATTACATCTGAACTGGGGCATATAATCATTATTGTGTCCCCTAAAGGATTTGAATACAAATAATAATGATCTATGAGAGTCCAGATTCTTCCATGTGTACATGCATTTAAATACAGCAGAAATCATGTCTAGATTCTCCGGTGGGTCAGTGAGGCCCCACTTGTATTTTTGCAAAATCAATTCAAGCTGAAAAGTTGAAACCAAAGTATGTTTATGTTTAGAAATCAAGGGTAAGTTTTCTCCTTCTTCTTCTTTTTCCTTCCAGAGTAGAAAAGTAAGAGAATTAAAGGAAGAAAATATAGTACCTTGCACATGTTTGGAGGGCAGAGAGTGCAGCCATGGGGAGCTTTGTTGAAGTCATGATAAGGCAAAATCCTCAACCTTCCCTCTTCATTAACATAGCCAGGATTACTGTTAATCTCAGAGAAGCACTCCTTTATTCCCAAATGCTTCAAAATTGTTTCAATGAAGAACATATTTGCATCACTTACAACCCTTAAATCACACCTGAAAAACAAAGAAAATGGCACCATGTATTTCTTCTCCACCAAAAGGAAAGAAAAATAACACATAAGTTCCCATATTTATTTATCTGAAAAGGAGAAGAAAAAGATGCATACCCTAAAGCATGAGCTGCTTTAATGGCAGGAACAACTCTGGGATGTTTAGGAATCCTCTTCAGAACCTCTTCAATTTCCTCAATGGTTATTCCTTGTGAATGAAGCTCCATCATCATCCTATCCTATAAAATCAATAGGAGAAAAAGAAGACAACTCAGTCATTTCTGTCACAAACAACAAAACCAGAAGCACAAACTTGAAACAAAACATTTCCGTAGGATGACTCCAATATCAATGGATTGCCTCGAGGAAATTTTACAATCTCATCCTTCTAGATCAAGAGGCAATGACATGACAATATCATTGAAATAGCAATATTCTCTGCACTTGAAACAAAACCAGACTTGCATAGACCATTATCATTGAAGAAACAGAGTCATATCTTTCTGAACAAGGAATCTTACCATGAGAGAGTTCCAAGGCATGGTGGGAAGAAGCTGATTGAACAAGTCGGTGGCACCGAGCTCGTCGACGACCCAATTGTCACTATCGCAGTCAACAATGGTCTTGTCGAAGTCGAAAACCACCACAATTCTAGACATTGTTAAGAAAATCTCAATGGCCCAGAAGAACAAACCCTATCGTGTGTCTCGCAGCTCTACCGAAATCAATTCTTGGCGTGGATTCTACAACTAGTAAGACGTGGGTATTTATAGTGAACACCATCGCTAAAACCTAACCCCGAAAAAGAAAACCCAAAAAAAAAAAAGAAGAAGAAGAAGAAGAAACGGTTCTTTTGATTCCAAAGGAATATTACTTGGGGCGATGAAGGAGGCCGTGAAGGTCCCATCTTCTTGGCAGCTTGCTTCCTCTAGAGCATATCTTTCTCATGAATCAAAATCCTGACGACGATATCACAAATCTCATCAGGTCCGTTGGATTTGATGCCATTTCACTTTGGTCAAGAGGATCCAACGGTGAGGAGATCAAAGAGGATTCTAAGCCAAGCGAATAAGAACTTGGTCGGGAACAAAATGGAATATTCCAAGGAATTCGATATTAGTTGGCCGCCCTTTTTTTTTCGGCCAGAAAAAAAAAAAATTAGTTGGCCACCTTTGAAATACACTTACCACTGGCTCCAAGAATATTCTGGGTATGGTTCCGTTTCAGTGATCCTTATAATATTTATTTATTTATTTTTATGAGTATTAAATTTCGAAAATTTGCTTATTAGGCGTGTGCTGTGTTCGTACTAATTTCCAAATGGATGAGCCTGACCTTGTAAATGTTCAATCTCAAATTGGATTCTATTTGCTTTATTCTTATATGCGCTTTTTTTTTTTTTTAGCCAAAGCTTTATTATTACATATGCATGTATGTTTGTGATTATGTGAATTCTTTTTTGTGAGAGTATCCATAAAATATAAAAGAAGAAATTAATGATGGCCTGATTTTCAACAATTTTTTTTAAAAAAATTAATTATAAATATTAGTTCAGGTTATTGTAAATGAGCTAAGTTTTATTATTGTCACTCCACGAATTTATCATTTTTTCTTTTTTAGTAAACAAAATCATGTTAACTCATTTATAAACTCAAATTAAATAAAACTCGATTAAATTTATGAGTTAATTTTTTGAGTTTATCATTTTTACATTTCTAGCTTATAAAATCTTGTTAATATACTTATAAATTTGTTAAGCAAAATAAATATATATTGTGTACAACTTAATTCATAAAAGCAATAGAATCTGATTCAATGACAAATAAAACTCAAAAAAACAGATATTAATATTAATAAAAAAAGAGAAAAAAATACTAAAAATAAATTACTCTATTTTAAAATTTCTATGTTAATTGTAATATTTTATAAATATAGATAGATTTAATTTCAATAATTTATATTTAAAATATATTTAAATTAAATTATAGTCATATTTTATTTTTAATTATTTAATTATGTATTTTTAAAGCCTATTTATTAATAGAGGTAAACTCTAACGAGTTCATAATTCAAGTCTATATTTTGAGCTTAGATTCCTAATATAAATTTACTTAAACTTGCAAATTTAACATCCTCGTTAAGTTTCATATTAAGAATTTAAATATTTTATTTATAATTAAAAATTTTATTTGTAGATAACAAGAATTGGACCCTTATCATCCTATTACACATAACTACTGTAATTTTGTAAACTGTCGATAAAAGAATATCGAAATTCAAGCGTAGAATCTAATCTTTTGTCACTGTTCTTGAGGATGATTGATCCAGCACCTCCACCCTGGTAATTTATTTATTTTTGCCAGATTGTAATTTATATTATTTGGTCAAAATAATAAATTTAGAATATTATGAAAACAAATCATAGCATGAAATTTCTGTGGCAATTCTCTCATGTAGAGGAAACTTCATCAATCTCTTAATAGTTAACATCCGTTAATAATATGGGGAATGAATTTTAATTTTTATCATATATTTATTTCATATCTAAAAGTTAGAAAACGAAACCTCAAATGCTCGATTAAGGAATAAGAACACTACTTATGTTAATATGAATTGTGAATTTTTATGATATTTATTATATTTTCATACTTATTGCTCCTTCCGGATTAAATCATTTTCTAAAAATTTTGTTTGGTGTAAACTATAGGGGATTGGGTAGGTATTCTATTTTTTTTTTCAATTATACTCTTACTTTATTAAGTGATTAATGAAGGTGTTTTAAATAAGTTAAATATTATACTCCCTCCGACTATAATATAAGGCATTTTTTAAAAATCTTGGATAGTACAAAATATAAAATATTAGATAACTTTTATATTTATTTTTTCAATTGCAGCCTTACTTCATTTATTACTCTTTTTGAAAAAAAAATGAATTAAAATTTTAATTATTATTATCAAGGCTTTTATATATAGGATATTTAATGAGGATATAAATAAAAAGATATGAACCTTTTTAAGAATTTAACATTTTAATTAACATTGTTTGTAAATCATGAATTAGTTAATTATGACTTATATTATTATCTAAATTGAGTATTTATTACATAATATTACATACAACGAGCACGACTGGAAAGCTGTGTAAATTTTTTGAAAATCAAGATTTAACTAACTTTTTTAAGAAATGTAAATTAGTAAACACTTACCCTGGTCCAAAATATAAATAGTTTTTAAGAAAAATTTACATACCAATAAAGTATTCATAATTTTCATAAAAATATATATTTTTTACTCATAATCCTAATTATCAATGTATTTTATATTGAGTGAGATGCATTTATATAAAGATCTAAATTGATAAATACAATGGGTAAAATGGAGAATTTTTTTTACATGTACTTGATTGCTTATATTTTAAATTAAAATTAGTCTAGGGAAAAATACTTATATTTTTTAAAAATATTTTTATATTGGTATAAAAATAATTCGATCTTGAATGATTTTAGCTAATCAAAAGAAAATTAATATTGGCAAACCACGTGAATGTGACTTCAGGAAGATGGAGTAATTTCAAGATAAACATAAAAAAAAAACAATAATCAAGATGTGAAAATAGATAAGCCAATTATGTTCATGAATATATAGAAAAGGATAATTTAGCTGATAAAATTGAGAGTTACGATTTCAGACATTTGTGGTGCATGCGATTATTCTCACACTTGGATTATGTGATATTGTGTTTTTTATGTTTATCATAAGGATTGGATAATTTAGTTTATTTTTTCTTATCCTTTTCATTTCTATATCATTTAGAGCAATGAAACGACGCCTCATATTTCTGATTCAATATGAGCGAAGCATCAAGCTCACCATAATTTGTTTGACTTGAGATAATAAAGTCACTATTATTTATCATTTCCAAGAGAGACATTATTAGTGTGTCCCAGTCGTTTGTAAACCCAACCCTACAAGTAATCTCAATGGATCGATTCGAAATTTTAATAACTCAATATTAGCACATAATTCTTTTTCTTCTTTTCATATCATAAAGCATAAATGAGTTTGGATCTTAAAATTTATTAGTACAACAAGTCTCATAGTTTAAAGAATATTTATAAAGACGATTATAATTTAGCAACCCATGCAATGCTTGCATCGAGACTAGTCTTTTTTTTTTTTAAATCCATTAAATTGTCTTGAATTTTTTCTATTGTTCAGGATTCTAAAAAATTTGTGAGTATTACTACTTATGCCTAGACTAAGCCAAACCCTACTATGTAAGATCATGTTTATCAACGGCAATTTTCATGAATAATTTAGGATGCTTTCAGCATTTTTAACATAACTGTATATATCGGGACTTGAATTTTAATTCGTAGTACAAGTTAATTTGACTCATTTAATTAGTTGAACCAAGCACAAGCATCCCTGCATATTGTCCTAATAGATTATGACCGATGGTTTTTTGTCTCAAAGAAATTAATTTCAAAATGATTAGACTTTGGTCGCCAAAAGTACTGAGTTATTGAATTATTTCTTTAGCTACAAATAGTAAATGTACTTTTTATTTTTATTATCAAATTACGATTAATTGGATTAGAGAATAATTTAATCATACATAATCAAAGAGAGTAATTTAATAATGAATAAGGGACAACTTGGTGCACGAAGTTTCTGCTATACGCAAGGTTCTAAATTCTAATTCTAAGAGGCTTGGATCTATTGTACATAGCTTTATTTTAGATAAACGAGTGATTTATCACTCCTGATCTTTTTAAATCACATTAAGCTGGATAATTTCAAATTTAAATTCCAAAGATAATTGAGGGATTATTTATGATTCCTTTCTTTCTTTTTTGTCATTTTTTCTCACCCTTGATTTTAGATACAATATCACGTGTTACAAAGTTGGTGATAATTCATATTTGTTTAAGGTTAATATTTAATATTTAATTAATTTAGTGGGTTTGCATGTACCAATGGGTTTTGTCCTACAGATTTTGTTCAATTTGCGTCACGATTTCACTAAATATTAATAACATATAATAGTTGATCATGACTAATCAAGTGTCCCCGTGCATGTTCTTCTCACTGCTTGCAAAATATTGAAGAAATTTAAGAGGTTTAAATCATCTACAACTCTAGTATAACTTTTAAATTTTATTTTATTATATTTATATTTGAAAGTTTATTTTATTTTATCATCTCGTAATAATTTTTAATTATTAAAATAAAAAATAAAACCTAAAATACGATCTGCTTTTTTGTTCCTATCTTCGGGGTGACGTGTACTACTTATATATATATATATATCTATATATATATATATATATATATATAAGGTAATAGCTTTGCATTTGGGCAAAGCGACATCTATAATTATAAAAGGTGATGCGTCATGCATTTGTGGATTGATTAAATAAATTATTAAAGTAAACTAAAGATTATTTTGTATCAGAAGTCCTCCACTATCAGTATTATATATGCAGTGTCCAAAACGATACAAATCATATATAAATGTCACACACCATTTAAAATTTAACTTTCATGCACTTATTCATAATTAATCTATTAGGTATTTTTCTATTGAAAGGAATCTTCAATTAAAATTTCTTCTCATATCTAACAAAAATATCTAAGTCACGCAAACTTAAATGGCCAAGTTAAGGGTAAAATCAGAATTATTGTGATTTTAATAAAGCAGAAAGAAAAACAACACTAAACAAAAGAGAAAAGAAAAGTTAATTACGTGACCATTCATCAGTTTTCATGAACTACGCTCATTCCTATTATGAATATGAATTTTATCAAGAAAAATATGAAACGAATGCCAGCAAATATATTTTGCTTAAGTGATAAAAACTTCTACATTCATCTGGACATGTGTTGTTATGCAAAATTAAAGTTATTATTAGAATTAGAACTCATGCAAATTAGTATTTATTCTTTTTAAAGAGCTTGAGTGATAATTTTGAGAAGCACCAAAAGTTGAAAGGCACATATGATTGTTTTACACTTTCATGACGATTCCAATTTTTAAGAATATTAACAATAACATTTTATACAATTTAAGATTTTATCTTTAATTTTTATATATGTATATGATTCTTCCATAAGGGTACGTTTGGATAACATTTCAATCTAGGTTGGAAAAGCACAAACTTATATTGGAATGTTAAAAGCTCAAAAAATTTGTTTGGATAAAAAAATTGCAACTAATATTGAAAGGCAAACAATCGTTGGATGTGAAGCCACAAAAGGTAGCTTTGAAACGCAGCATTAAATAGGAGAGGAGAAACAGAAAGCCGTAGAGAGCTGTATGATAAAACATTACATAGAGTTTTTTTTTTTTTTTTAAGTTTTAAGTTACACAGTTTTATCAACCTATTTTTTTTTTTTTTTACAACGTTACACAGGGAGCTCATCTCTTAACGTAAGGGTGCGTTTTTTTTCCTCCATAAATATATGAAATTAGCCTTGTGTTTTATGCTTTATTTTGAAATATTATAATTTATTTTTCAATTATTTTAGATGAGATTAATTCAATGGAAATATTATATAATTTTTTAAGTTTATGTATAAATTTGAAATAAGATGACTAATAGTCTAATTAAATATTTTATAATTTATCATTTTATTCTACCTTTTAAAAATTTAAGATTTTTAATTTGTCAATTTATTTTATCTTTTAAAATTGAAAATTTTGTAATTATAAATTTATTTAAGCTTTTTATAGTTAAATACTTCGTAACTTATCATTTTATTCTAAATTTTTTACAAAAAATCATAATTTAAAGTTTATTATATTTTCCTAGAGATATCAAATGAGTCAAAAAACATAGATGCTTTTATAAATATAACCTATGTTATGAAACCAAACTAAATAAATAGCTCAATATTTATTATATCCATATAAATCGACTATACTCTCAAATTTTTAAAAATTGATTCATATTTTTTAGGGTAGTAGGCCAATTTATCCAAAAACATATACAATCAAATTTATTTTTTTATTTTTCTAAATTGGCTTTTGAACTTAAACTGTCCAAATAAATTTGACTAAATTTGAGTTTGTCCAATTGATTTTTTTAAAAAAGTATTTAAATATAAATTACATTACATTCAGAATTTTTTCTCTAAACCTCAGTGAAAATTTTTTTTAATCAAAATACACACTAAATCCTTGCAAGTAATTAATGCTGCAACAATATTGGGTTTGGTCGGTTTCCATCTTTGCCAGTTTGATTCTAAAGAACATTCATACAATTCCATTCCTTTAGTTTTAGATTAACATCAAATCAAATAGGGAGAATTATTAGGAAGTCCCACCCTAGAAAGCTAAATATATTATAATCCCATGAAATTTACAAATAAGACTAAAGTTCCAAATCCTTATATTATAAATAAGTTTCCTTATGTCATTACCTAAATACCCTGCAGCATTAAAAAGAAAAAGAGCTTATCGAGTTTTCGACTTACTTCTTCCTCCTTGAATTTTATAGTCGTCTGTTCCGAGCCCACCATTTTTTTCAGTCCAACTTTAATTATTGAGCTATACACCTTGTTTCTGTTATAGCTTCCAACAAAGAGTCAAGTTGGAGAAGAAAGACCAGGTTTTAAGAATCAAATCGGACCGGTTCAACTGGTTGGACTAGGAATCAGTCATCAGTCCAGTTCGGGTGAGACAGGAAAATCAAAAGATAATCAAACCGGTCAAGAACTGGTAAACCGGTCAACAAACTGGAAAAATTGTGAAAACTATACGGTTGAGAGGTTTGGCCACTTCAAGAGATGGCATCTAAAAATAAAAAACGAAACGTAGGGAAGATGAAAATAAGAAGGATGAAAGAGATTTACAAAAAACAAGTAAGAATGCATTTTGCAGCAAAAAATCACCTTAGATTTGTTCTTTCAGTCACAAAACTACAATAATAAAGCCTTCAAACAGGATGCAAGTGAAGCTGCAGTTCAACAAGACCCTCGGCAGTCGGCAATGAAGAGAAGGGAAGGAAAGAAGAAGATGAATGTGTCATCACAGAGAAAGAACGCGTGTGTCAATCAAAGGGATTAATTTTCTGCCATACGATTCCTCTCCCCTTTTCACGTGAATGGCACCATTTTAATATCATTAAATATTGATATGTTGGAGAATGGAGCAAAAGGAGGGAAGCAATTTGGGATGAGTGGGAGACAAAAACATTTATTTATGGATTCATTATGATATTATTTATGCTTATAAAAAAATAAGAAGATAAAATGAAATATGTTAAAATAATGTTATTTTAATTAAAAATTATAAACAACTTATAAATTTTCTTTTTTTATATAAATTTTTTAATTTAAATATTAATTTTTATAATTATAGATGAATTTATCTTATGATTTTTATATATATAAAATTTAAAATATATTAAATTAATCAAAATTGGTTCGACCACAGTTGAACCATTGACGCTTAAACCAGTTCCTTGTCCGGTTCAATGTCTGGTCTGATTTTTTCTTGAGAAAGATACATAGATGTTGGATTATGATTGGGGCAACCTTCAATTATAATGCTCATAGGAAATAAAGAAGCCGCCGCCACAACTCTGAATAAACGCACCAGCAAATATTTGACCACTATCATTCTCATCCATTCTTACCGATCACCTTATTTCTCAAGCTCCATGGGGACCCGCACAGGAGGAAGAGAAGAAGAGCGAGAGAGGAAGTGGGGAAGTAGGAGAATATAGAAAGTACAAATCTTTAGAAGTCCTAACTTGGTGTAGGAAAAGGAATGGGAATTGAAACTGAGGAGGTTTCATGGTGCTCTCAATCATGACGTTTAGGTTAAACAAGAGAAGAAAGATGATTCAAAAAGTTTGAACTTTTGATTTTGGAAGGAGGCGCAGAGAAAGTGGTAGAGAGGAGGAGGAGGAGGGAGGGCATTTAGTTAATTACATAAGAATTTTACAACTTAAAAATATGAAACTTCAATGTTATGTTATTTGCAGATTAGCAACTAACCTATTTAGCCTGCTAGGATGGGACTTCCCAATAATTCTCATAAACAAATTTACATTTTTTAATTACATCTTCATTAAATATTTTACATGAATACTTTGATAATGACAATTGAAATTTTAATGTATTATCTTTTTTAAAAAAATAATAAATAAAGTAAGGTATAATTAAAAAATAAATATAAAAATTACTCAATATTCTGTATTTTGAATTAAGTAAAGTTTTTAAAACATACCCTACATTATAGTGCAGAATATATTCATTATATTACATGACTTTAACTTAAGGTTGAAAATTTTGGATTTGAGTTATGTGCTTAATGTTCAAAATATTAAAAAAAGAGGATGTAAAATTTAAAATCTTAAATGATTTATATTTTCTTTTCAAGTGAAGAGCTGCATATATCCCTTCAATTGCATGTGGCTCCACTACTGAGTGTGTCTATATAACTAGCCGTGGCTTGTTTAAATGATTCGTCACGTTAATTTAGCTCTCGTCTTTTAAAATTAATCTCTGAACTGGTAGTTGGCTTGTGAGAATAATTCATTCCTTCCACGTTATCTTCTGTGAAGTACATTAAATATCCTGGAAAGATTAACATACAGATATTAAAATAAGAAGCTAACTCGCGCTCTTGTTAATGCCTGAAAACCAATAACTAGCCAATACATCAAATGAACAGATTTCTTTGTTGATTCGCCTACCAGTATAAACAAGCTAGGACAAGAAATGTGTCAAAAATGAAGAAACAGCACTCATCCTGGAGTTCCATGATTCTTCTGATAACCAATAACCAAACATGCAAGATATGAAAGACGGTATAAATTTTCTCAAAGGCTAATACCGTGGACGAAATACTTGTTTCCTCTGTACCTAAGAATCCTGTCTTCTGCTCCAACACACCACATATGGCCTTCCAGGTCCAAGTTTCCTTCCATCTTTGCAGTTTCCCACACAAACTTGAATACTCCAAGTGCCTGGTCTAGCTGCTTCACCCCACGCCCAATCATTTTTTCATCATCTGAGGTCAAGATTCTTCCCATGGACAAGCAAAACCTATCCTTACTTCCATTTTCATAAACCCCACCACGTATATCCACTTCAATATCTAAAACTCTTCTGTACAGGTAATATAACAATAGAGTGAACAAACATCTAGATGAGTGTCCCAATGTTTTGGTGAGCTTCTTTTGCACTAGACTTTCTTGATGTCTAGCTTCCTTATATCCGATACTATGATCAACGATAACATCCTTGATTTGAGAAAGACCCTCCTTCATTACCTCGAGCTTAGTCACATGCAACTTAAGCAAAGCTTCACTTCTGAAACATTCAATCAAATCATTGACCATCTCGAGAATATCTTCCCATTTGAGAGGATCAGACGGATCAAGGGTTTTAGAAGGTGAGAGTTTCATCCATGAAGCAGTGTCAGGATCAGAGGAAACTGCAGTTTCAGTCAGAAATTTCAAGCAGTTGTGAACAATTTGCTGACCCATTAGAGTACTTTTGCTTGATCCTCGAGCAGTTAACAATTCCAAATCAACTTTCATGCCATTCAAAATCTCCTCGAGTGCACCTGTCCATATACGGTGCTGGGTCACTTGCGGGCACACTGTTAAGCGAACCGATTTCCTCTGTTGAGCAGTGATATTGAGAAAATTGCTTATTTTAGTAAGTGAATCGACAACAATGGGCACTCTTTCACTAGCTTGGCTGAAAGGAGAAGTTGAATTTTGGCTTGTTTTCTGTGTGCGTTTCACCTTCCGCTGAACCAATGGAGACCCAATAAAGGCCCGGACATGCGATTTCAACACACCCATTTCACGTTCGATTCGATCATCAACAATGGTGGAATTACTGGTAACATCAACAAGCCTTCCGTTGATGGCATCCACGTTTTTCAGGAAATGGGTCAGCTGTGAAATCCTTGGAAACACATTCTCGTACCATTTCAAAGGCAAGACATCGTGGGAAGAAAAGGATTCTTCCAAAGAGTGATATGGCATCAACTTCAAATACAAAGCACCAGATTTCTCAGTTCTCATATGGGAACCATTCCTGAGTAGCTTATGCAATCTCAAGGCCATGTTCCTACATGTCATGTGATTGAACTAAAAACCTATTTCACCAAATGAGTCACGTCTAGTTTCTGTGCTGGCAGCTGCAACTTTGTTGTGGTGTTAAATCAAGCAGATGGAGTGCACTTCGTTTCAGAACCATGAAGAGATATCACAATTGAATCAACAGCATTTTGGGAGATTGGGATGCCCTGCTATATCTGTACTTTCTCCATCTCAGCCTCAGACGATGTCTAGAAAGTTTAGTAATTGAAACATGTGGAGCCCCCGAGAAGTTATCTATTTTACAATGGGTTTTAGATTCTCAAATTTATTCAACGGCGGTGTAGTGTACGGTTATTCCAGTTTCTTTAGGTTGGCAAACTGGAATTGAAGTATCAAGGTGCGCCCCTCATTGGCAGGAACCAAATCATGGCATTTGGAGCAAGCCTTAGCCAGTTTATTCAGCTCAATCAACAGCACAATTCACAGTTTAAATCCATTCAAAACCTAAATTCAAACTCATTAGTTACAGCATAGTCAATCAGTAGCAACCAAGTTCTGGCTTGTGTACCAAATTTATGATAGGCCACGACCAAATTCTGTCATTTAAACCAAATAACCCAAAAAATCAGCAAAATTCAAGGTAGTTTTTAAGGGTATAATCAAAATTACCTATCAGAAGACAGAAATATCTATTCAAACCCGCATCGTTCCCCAAATTTGCTGTCCTCTTTCTCCTCGCAGAGCGCTGAAGAGGGCCAGGGGAGGGGAGAAGTTGGGAAGAGAAGGAGGTTGGTCAAGCCGGTGATTCAGACTGGGCGGGGCGGGCTCAGTTTCGACCAGCCCGAATAAGCTGCGCATGAAAAAACCCCAAGCCCGACCCTAACCCGATTAGCAAGTATAACTGGAGATAAATGGACCCAGCAAGAATTATCGCAATAACCAGCACCAAGCAAATCAATTTAGCAAGAATTAGACGGAGATAAATAGAGAGCTTCAACAAAGCCCAGCTCGAACAGAGGAGAGCTTCAAGAAACCAGCAGCCAGCAAGGCAGCACGCAAGACCCGACCAAACATCACGAAGAATGAGAACGAGGGAAGAAAACGCTAAATGGAGACGAACTAACCTGCAAGAAGAAATGGAAGACCACAGTTGCACGCCGGCGGCGAGGTCGTCGGATCTAGAATGTCAGAAAGAGAGGAAGAACGAGAACGAGGGGCCGAGATTGAGAGGGGTAGCTGGGAAACCAGAGTCAGAAGAGAGCTGAGAGGAAAAAGCGAGAGGTGGAGAAGGGCCTGAGTAGCGGCGCGGGCGGCGAATGGGTGAGGTGAGCCGGTGAGGGAGGGAGAGACGATCGGCGGAGTTGACAGGGAGAGAAGATGGAGAGGATGAGTGATGCGCCTGCGAGAGCTAGACTACAGTGAACCAGCGAAGAGTAAGACGAGAGAAAGAGAATGAGTGATGCGATTGCGACTTGCCGGCTGCAAGGCTCGTTTAGGCGAGGCCAGCAACTTTAGTTGCACAGGCTTAACAAGTTAAAGAGACTTAAACATGAACTAAAATCACGATAAAGCTTTGCCATGACATAAACGTGAACTTAAAGGTTGAGTTAATTTGAAAATTTATCTAAAAATAATTTTTATAAATAAATTTATATTTTAATTTTAAAATTTTTAAATATATTTTATGACTATTACTATAAATATAAAACTTGATTTATCAATTATAATATATAATAATTAAAAGAACTGATCAATTATAATACACTATAATAATAAAGTAATAATATTAAAATTAATATATATGTTTAATTTAATTGAAAACATAATTAAAAATAAAAAAGGACAGATTAATTAAAAATTAAATGATAAAATTAATATATATGTAATATATTACATTATATATTTTATATATATATATATATATATATAATATGTAAATAGATTGACATGTTGGGCTTGCAGACTAAACTATGAAAAACTAGGCCCAATCTATTTAATCAAATGGGTCTAATTAAAGGCATGTACTTCCTTTGCAGTCACTTTCAATATTTTTACCATAATTAAGAAAAATTTTAAATTTTATTAATTCTATTTAAAAATTCAATAAATTTTTAATTTTATCTCTATTAAATATAATTATTTTAAAATAAAATACTCTAGCATTTAATAAACTTCTCTATAACTAATAAGAAAAAAATTATAAAGACGAACATAAGAATCATTGAGATGCCTTATAAATAAACAAAAGTAAACATTCCTTCTCTACCCTTTTATAAGACCAAATGATATTTAAATAAGACAAAAAAAATCAAGCTTGAAAAGCTCAACATGTATATGTAATATATAATACTTCTTTTCAGGATGATAATTTAATTAGATCATATTTAAATATTGTTAGATTTAATTGAGGATAATTTTTTAAAAAACGTTTTTTACACGCACAAGTTCGAACTCAGAATCTCATATTTAAACTCTTATTAAAATGACAACCTATCGGTAAGTGGCAACTAGTTTGGCGGTTGTAGCTGTGGCTGTAAGGGTGGGCTGTTTGGGCCCTTAACTTGCCTATTAAGGTTTGGAGCTATAAAATGGTTGAAAACTTGAAACTGTCGTGTCCCAGTCATTAGTCTCAACAAGCTGGCCCATTGGGTTGGGCAGGTCCATATTCCTACCACTAAACTTCATATTAAAATTCTTTTTTTTTTTCATCAGATATGATGTTTTATAAATAATGAACAATTATAGACTTGAGGACTTATTCGCAGTCGTTGGTCAAAAATATGAACGGGATATCAAAATGTGTTGCGTGTTGGGGGGAGGTTCATATAATAGCAGGATCCCATGCAGTGGTTTTTTTTTTTTTTTTTTGCTTTTCTTAACGATGAAGTGAGGTTCAATGATTTGAAAGGTGGGGGGCACGTGGGTGAGAAATAAAAGAAGAGGGGAGAGAGAGACATATGCGACCACATACCCTACACGAAGGTCGAACTCAAAGGGTGGTGTTTGGTAGATTCCAAGCAAGCTTTTGATCAATCGACATGAAACTTAACCTCACGCCCTCAACAAAACTTCATTTCTAGGAACATGTCCTCCTTCTAAGCAATCTCTATCTCCATCCCTCTCTTGCTCTACTTCTTTTTCAGCTCTTGTAGTTATTAGTATTTCTTATAAAAAAATTACATTTAATCCTTATAATTGTGGCAAATTTTGGAATAAGTCCTCATAGTTTACTTTTTACTAACAACTCCTTATAATTTGTTTCATTGACATACTAATAAGTGCATATTTTATAATTAAATAAGTGTAGATTTTGATTTGGATTTGATTATATTTATTAAGAGTTCACATCTATTTAATTAATATTTATATACTTTCCCCTCGTCTCTTAATTATAAGATAGAAAGGGATTTTAATACAAAATTTACTCATATTTTTTATTCTTATATTTTGTAGAAAAAAAGAAGGGAACGTTGGAAGCAATTGTCACAAGCATGTAAATATATGCTTAGAGACTAAATATTTTAGGGAGATGATGTACGCGATTTTCAGGGAATAAAGAAGAGATACACAAAAAAATTATATATATATATATATATATATTAAAATCTCATATCAATAAGAAAAAAAAGAAAGAGCCTCCACTTTAACTAAATACTCCCTCCATCAAGAGAGGGATCATCTAATCACTTATGTTTTATTGATTTATTTTTATTTTTTATATTTTTATCAAAATTATCCATTTTATCTATTTTTCTTGAACTATTAATTATTTAAATTAGTAAAAGTGCAACTTTTCTATGGGTTTGATGCTTGAAATACTCTACGTAATTTATTACTGTGATCTTGTACACTTGTGAGAGCGATCACATACACATCAACTTTGTTATCACACAAGATTCAATTATCTAGACAAGGGAGAGTTCTTGGTGTTTTAAGACTTAATTCTATATTGTAAACTTTAAGGCCAAACAATTTTAAAATAAATAAATTATATCAAGTGGCATCAAAATATTAAAACTTTAGGGACCAATGTCATGATTTAGTGAAATTATAAGGGCTAAAATTTAAATATTTCCTATTTCTTGTTTGTTACTGTTCTTATGACTTCTAGGCTTCTATCTCCATATTTTCATTGGTTTTCTCTTTCTTGTGGTCTTAATTTTTTTTTGGATTAAGGGGCACAAATGCCTCAAAAGTTTTTTGAAATAAATGTTAGGTACCCTTATCTTTTAGTTAGAGCAATATTGGCACTGAAACTTTTAAAAATAGTGCGATATTACCTTACCATTAACTCTAACAACCATTAACCATTAAAAATTTTACATGCACCACATGTTAAATGGTTCTTCTTCTTCCACGTTCTTCTTGTTTGCGTGTTGCTCTGACCAAATACTTAAATCCTCATCATCTCCAATGCCAGCATCATCTACTCATGTGTGGCCTTAGCAACATACCACTTCATCCTCTTCAAGTTGTGTCTTTAAGGCTAACGACAATTGTAGCAAATAACATAGCCAATAAGTCTCCCCCTCAATGACATTTCCTGTGGCATTGACCCTGAAATCCTTAAGAAAATCCCTATCTTGCCTTGCTCTCGTAACAAAAGAATCCTTTAGCCTTCAACTTTTTTTTAATCCTATTGACGAAAAGAATCCCTTCTCCTCTAAATTTTTTTTTCAAATTTATTTTTCAAGTTTTAGTTTAGGCTTTGATTTTTGTAATGGGTTGATGGGTTTGATTTCAATAAATCCACCACAAATTCATATTCATGAATTAGGTTAAGTATGAAGGAAGATTTAATGTTATACATTCCTGCGCGTACATGATGTTTAGTATTGAGTCTTCGACGAGTAAGGAATTTGCACTTATGACCTCTACTTTCTTTTTGTGCAACATGGGAATAATCTCGTAGAAAATGAACTGATTATCCAACTATTAACAAAACTACTTCTAGTGATAAACATTTCCATGAATTAGAATTTGTTGTGAATTCATTATTGCCTATTTTCATCATCTTCAACAAAATCGTCACAAGTGTGGGAAGGGATGGATGATTGAAGGAATCTCCATTGCCAAGTTGGCTAAGTTGCTGAGTTGCCTCCATCTCTAATTCCGACAACACCGACTTCTTCTTCTCCTTGACCCCATTTCTTTGGACCATTTAGCATATGACATGTGTCAATCTTTTTTGTCAAGTAAAATTTTTAACGATCAATGTTTTGCAGAGTTAACAATAGAGTAATATTTTTTTTGAAAGTTATGGGGCAACATTGTACCAACAAAAAGGTAAGAATATTGAGTACTCCTTTTCAAAAACTTCAAAGTGTTTTTGCCTCTTAACCCTTATGCAATCAATATTTTTCAATTATCTAAAACACATATATGGATGGATAGATAATTTTACTTCTCATTGATTTGATCAAGTATTTAAATCTATTTTCAACAATACACAATCTATTTATCTAAGTTAATCCTAATGACTCATTTAGAGTCACAATATGACTCATGATTTAATTTTTAAAATTCTTATAGAAAGATTAAGTATTTATTGATCATCTACCAATGAATTGTCATGTTAGCAATTAAAATTCAACCAACAAGACCATATATTATATATAATTTGAATATTTTGCTATCACCTAAAGTGATTGTATGTTTATGAAACATTAATAAAAAGTGAGAATAATATTTTTTTGGGATGATCACTTTAAAAGACTTTTTTGAAATGCAAATTGTGCTTAAGGACCAAAATCATTATAATATTCAAAAAAGGATGGGGTGAATGGCCTAATTTGTTAATTAACAAACTTTAAAAAACACACAAACTCTGGTTGCCGAAGCTCCAGTCCCTCTGCTAGCAGATGATAGTAAGCTTGTCAAAGCTCTGGCTGGCTAATAAAGGGTTGCGAGTAATAAAAAATTTCCATGGTATATATAACACCCCTCAAAATAAAGATAAGATTTAATTAAAACCAACCCAATATTTATACAACTCTAAAACTAAACATGAAATTAAAATTAGACCAGAATCTTGTCTCAAGGAAATCTACTTACAAGCCAACCAATGACATGATCACATGCAGTGATGATACGAGAATTCAGGAGCTTAAAACATATTTGGGTCAATAATTTGAAATGAAGGATCTTGGCAAACTAAATTTTTTTCTTGGGCTTGAGGTTCACTATAGGAGAGATGATATATCTCTTTCTCAAGTCAAGTATATTACCAATTTGATATCTTGAGGTCAACTTGCTGACGAGAAGGTTGAAAATACTTTTATTGAACTGAATGTTCACTATACTTTTACTGATAACACCTTATTAGATAATCCCACTCATTATCCCCACTTGGTAGGGGTCTCATCTATCTTACTGTGACTTATTACAATATTAGTTATGTAGTTCACATTATTAGTCTATTCATGTCAGAGCCTTGAACTACTCATTATGCAATAGTTTTTTAAATCATTTGGTATATCAAAGGCACTTTATGTTATGGGTTTCACTTGTTTGCTAGTTTTTCTCTTGCATTGCTGGCTAACTCTAAAGCCAATTGGATTGATGATCGAAGGTCTACGATTGGTTTTTGTATCTTTCTTAGCCATTCCTTTATCTCTGGGATAAGTAAGAAGAAAATGTTAGCCTCCTGCTCCAATGCTAAATTGAAATACTGTGCATTAACAAACACGACCACTAAGGTACTTTAGCTTCATTTATTACTTGACAAGATAGAAGCATCTCATAACTCTTTCATAGATATCTATTGTAATAATTAAGTTGCAATCAAGATTGATGTGTATCATGAGCAGAGCAAATATATTGAGATTGACTGTCACTTTACTCGACAGCATATTGTCTAAGGCACCATCCAACTTGTTCTGGTTTGAATCAAGTGTCAACTAGCATACTTGTTTATGAAATCCTTTCATCCAAGCCGCTTTCATTTCTTGAAAGACAAATTCAAGTTATTCTCTATTAAGTCATTTTGAGTTTGAGGAGGGTGTTATCTAGAATATTTTCTAAATATATTCTATCATTATTGTATATATATTTCAATCATTATTAATATTATTTGATATTATTATATAATTATTAGTCATTATTGTGTTGTCTATTTCTTGGTGTATGTAATGTACTCTTCATATTAGCAATATACACGGCACATTTCCCAATTATTCCCTAATTTATCTCTTTCTTCTATAATAACTTTCATGGAAGTGATTTGGTTGTTATTCTCAGATTTATATGTGTCTGAATTAACACATACAAGCCATTTGTAAATAAGTTTTCATGAACTCAAGTTAATATAAATGTTATTTATTGTAATGTGATTTATGTTTTAATATTTTTTTAAAAAAATTAATTTAATGTGATTCATGTTTGAATATTTTTTCTTTACTTGATTTTTATTTTGATAAATAAACATAAAAGCCAAGAGCTAAAAGCAAAAAACCAAAAAAAAAAAAAACAAAAAACAAAACAGCATCCTGGCATCAAGTTTGAACCAAAAGTCGTTTGCACAATTTTTATACAAACAAAATCTTTTTAATCTGGTGTGATTTAAATATTAATTTCAACCATTCAAATCTCAGTCTAAGTTTAGACCAGACGTTAGTTTTTTCTCCTTTGAATGTATTTTTGTAAAAATTCATGTACTTTGCTTCTCATAACGTTTGTCTTGAATATTGAACCAAGATATATTTGATATTCTAAAAGTGCTAGTTAAGTAAGTCCTTAAAGGTTATTAAAACTTGGAGACTTTGCTCTAGACTTCTATTTATAAAAAAAAAAAAAACACTTTACTTGTAGTTCTCACTACAAACATGCAATAATTTTTTTTAAAGGCAATCATTCATCATAAATGCTTATCTTCTTATCCCACTATACATTTTTTTCTCCAGCGTTTAGTTTTATAGCATTATGGTGTTAAACTGATAACAAAAACAAATTTAGTCCGGACAATATTCCTTAAACTTTCTTGCATGCAAAGAATCACACGGTGCTGAGTTATATTAAATTATTTTAATTAATTAATTCTTACATACTTTTTGAATAATGATAAAATTAATTTTTTCACACTTCATATACTATTGTTTTGGCTATTAATTTGGATTAGAAGGAAAGAAATTTCATCATCTTAATTCGCATAAAAAATTCCGAAAGGTCTTTTCAGTTAAGAAAAATCACCTTCTTGATAATTAATAATATTAATAGTAAAACTATGGCAATGATTGACTTAAATAATTAATAATGAATCTCTATTCCCTGGCCAAATCTACCAAACCCATGTTCTCGTTCCCCATAATGACTTGAGTACTTTTGCTAGCAACTTGTACAAGAAAAGACATGTTTATGAAAAAAGTGTCATACAATTGTAAAATAAACATCATCTAAATGTCACAATCAAGACTTTGATCCTTCACAAGTTTGGGCTGTGTGGTGGCTCACTCATTCTGTCCTTTTGCATTTAGCAGGTCATTTATTCTTTTTTTTTTAGCTATTAAATCATACCGCACTGTTTTTAGCACAATAAGTTTATTTCTTTAATATCATAGAGTAATAAAAATTGAACCATCAATCATTTATCCAAGAGACATGATTTTTTTCCCTAAAAAAATTTATATATTTAGTTTTACATACTCAATATATTTTTATTTAATCAAATTAAAACAAGTAAATTTTGAAGTATTAAAAGTATCAATAACAATAATTTATTATTTTTATAGAATAAATAATATATAAAACATTTAAATATATTAATTATTTAATTGAAAATAACTACCTTAAACATATATTATAAGTTTTTTTTGGTCACTGATATCTACGTAAACTGCTTATCAAATCACACACTTTGAACAGAGTAAGAATGAGACAGTGCATGTGTAAGACTCTTTCATCAGTAGCATCAATGGAGCTTGCATCAACTTCTAAATATCACATGTTGTTTTTATTTTATTTTTATTATTACAAGTAATAATACTTCACGCAAATTTATATTTTATTTTTTATATTTTAATTATTATTTTTTTAAGTTTTCAACACCATAAGTCCATAACATGTCATTTACTTTTTTTAAAAAAAATATAATAATATAATATTTAAATTAAAACACCAATATTACTCAATATAAAACATAGTAAATTTATAAAAAATATATTATTTACAAACTATGAATAGTATAATTTTCTTAATTTAAAAAAGATGCAAACCTGATGCAGAATATTTCTGATTAAGGATAAATTCTTCTCTACAAATTCTCAGCCGCTGGATTATGGTAGGGTTCTCATTTACCCCTCACAAAAGATCTTAAAAGGAAGAAAAGGAAAGGACGTACAAGTCATTTGAGACAACGTCACCTTACCTATTATCTTTTAAACAATTTCAATTCCTTTTACAAAGTTCTTAATTTAACTAATCAATAATCTAATGACCATCTGAATTATTCTTAACGTAACATGACTGTGCCACACAGCCGTTGAAATGGGAATAATAATGTCATGGATGAACAGAAACGCGTTCCAATCAGAATGAGTGATTCATGTCACTGAGTGACAGACATGTGAGGTTAGCAGAGATGAGGAATTTATATATTTACATGCGAAAAAAACAAACAGAGGCGTATTATTGAGAGGGAGTAGACAGAGAAGAGTGTGTGTGAACCTGTGTGTGCGTGGAATTGTGATTGTGTATTGCCTCTCCAACGCCGAAGAACGGCTTGCTCCGTCATTATAATCTGGAAATCCCAATTTTCTCCTTTTAGAGAGAGAAAATCTTGTATAGAGGATTTTTGTAGGAGGAGAAAGAGAGAGAATTTTTGGTCTTTTATGCCTTCCAATGGTTCAACTGGAAATCCAAAGAAGGCTGTGAAAAAGGGGGAAAAAATTGTTTTTTGATATATATATTTTTTGTAATGGATGGGACTTCGAAGCTATGATCTTGTAAACATAGAAAGCGATCTTCGATGCAGTGATTAGATTGGTTGATTCCGTCGTGTTTTCGGGGGCCGTTGATTTGTTTTCCCGGGAAATGAACGGTGGCGATGAGGTAGTCGCAGCTCCGGCGGGTCCAACGCAGCCGCTGGAGTGGAAATTCTCTCAGGTTTTCGGCGAACGTACGGCCGGCGAAGAAGTTCAGGAAGGTAATTGGAACAATATGCTGTGTTGAGGAGACATGTTTGTGTTGTGACTGGTCGGATCCAGTTGATGTAGTGTGCCTTTGTTGGGATTAGGGTTTGGTCGCGTGCTTTCGATCTATTTCTGGTCGTGCCTCTCCAGTCACTCGTTGTTTCGGCTTCGGGGTCGTCGAGTAATGCATGTATCGGCTCGTGGGTCGTGGTGTAATCATTGTCTTTTTGTTGGTCTTTATTGATTTGGGTAAAGCAATGGGTTTCGTGCGTTGATTTTTTTTACTGTGACCCGAAAGTCTTCATGTATTACATAGTTGCCTCGTTTAAGGTTGTCTTGCATTATGGATTTACTGGGTTTGAGTGATTGCGCGTTGAGCTAACATATGCAAGACTTAATGGTCTTCATTGTGTTGTGTCTTCAGCTTGTGCTTATATTGCATCACTTCACTTTTGTTGTCGTTAATTGGTTTCCTTAGTTTGTCCGGATATCACCATGAGACCATGGGTCCTATGAGCGGATCTTCATTATTCTACATGTCTTTTCTATTTTTGATTTCTTTTTCTCATTCGCTTGTCGCCAAGTTATCATTAAGAGTACGCAATAGGGTGTGCTAAGGGAAGGAGAGTGAGAAGGAGCATCTTGATGGTTGCAATAAACTACTTGTTATAATGCTGACTCAACACTATGTCTTCTTTATATTTAGATTTTCCCTGATTTGTGGTTTGGAAACATTGTCCACGACTGATTGTCTCTTGGTTCAGATGGCTGTAGGCTGGAGTTATGGTCATCTAATGCATAAACAGAATGATAGTTGAAGAAAGAACCATAAACTATCATTAAAGATTTGAACTCCTCGTATATTCTTCTAATGAACAGAGTCACTAATTTAGCTGGTGGGAGTAGAAACGATGGCAAAATATTTTATTGATGTGTGTGCTTAGCTGGAATGCCGCAAGCAAGCTCTCTTGTTGTAGGCAACAGCAGTAAATTTGTATAGAATTCAATTGCAATTTCTCTTCCAGTTATTCCTTTTGTGTTGAAGAGGGGTGAGGTTGGAGTTTGTTAAGATGTATTGGACAATAAATAAGTGAATTTTTTAATCAATATAAGTGGAATGTCAAACACTTTTGATCAGGATATGAAAGAGTCAAGGATAGTTGGGGGTTAATAATTTGTATCTACGTGAGCTTTTTGAATTTTTTTTATAATGGGGTATTTTTGGTAATTTGTTGTAGTCTCCAGAGAGATTGTGGTGGTAGAGGCCTTGAGAAAAGTTGTTGATTCTGTCATATAATCTCTCTGCTTTACTAATGATGGCTCAACTCACAGAAGAGACACTTTGTTCTTGCAAACTGTAACTGAGATGTAGTTCATGGTTTATAAGGAATAGAGTGACTCCTAATGGGGCTTTTAGGATTTATGGGTTTCTGTATAGCACTAATTCTACATTTGGACAAAATTCTTGACAAACCTGTTTTAGCTTTTGTTGCTCGAAAATGTCAGACCTGATTGTATGCCTGATTATGTTTTTGCTTCAGTGGATATAATTTCTGCTATTGAATTTGACAAGTCTGGTGACCATCTTGCAACTGGTGATCGTGGTGGTCGGGTTGTTCTTTTTGAGAGGACAGATACAAAAGATGTAAGTCTGATTTTTTAGTTCTGCAAGTTTCCTTGACCAAAGTGTTAAAACTTGATGTTAATTACTTCAATATTTTATGTGTATGGTACCATACAGCATGGTGGATTGAGACGGGATTTGGAAAGGATGGACTATCCTCTAAGCAGGCATCCGGAATTCCGTTATAAAACAGAGTTTCAGAGTCACGAACCTGAGGTAAATATCCTTTGCTAGTCAATTCTTCACAAACGCTTCATGGCTCACAAGTGTCGATATTAATGTATTATCATTTCTTTATGCCAGTTTGACTATCTTAAGAGCTTGGAAATTGAAGAGAAAATCAACAAAATTAGATGGTGCCAATCCGCTAATGGTGCCCTATTTCTTCTATCCACAAATGATAAAACCATAAAGTTTTGGAAGGTATGAATAAATGCTTCCCTCTAGCTGTATGAGTGAATGTCTTTCGTTCATGGGTTATGCACATTTGAACTTAACAGATCCTTCCCTTGTTTATGTGTCATATGCTTTGACAGGGTCTGTTTATGGACAAATCTTTTAGTTTGAGGCACTAGTTGGAATCCATTGCTAGGGATTAGTCTTAAGAAACTTCTAATTTGATGTAAAATTTCTTCTCTTGCAAATAAAACCTAAGCCTTGTTCTATTCACTGATGGACTTGGCATGCAGAGTATGACTTTTTAATGTTTAAGACGTTCATTCCAAATTCATACGGTCATGACTTCATTTCTGGACGTTGCCATCTTTCAAGCACATTGAGTTTTGAATTTTATCTGTTATATGTACTATGGCACCCAATGTACTATGGCACCCAGATGTTCGTCTTATTTGTATGACTTGAATAAAGGAAAAAAAATAATTCATGTTCTGAGGAGACAGAGTTGACTTGAAAGATGTCACCAGCGTTGACTCTTTGCTTGTACACATGCATGAGATGAATATGGTTTGTTTTCATGCGAATAAAATGCATGATCTATGCCCAAGGTCAATCGTTTATTATTTTGTCCTTATGAGTATGAACAGGTCCAGGAAAAGAAGATCAAGAAAATCTCTGAAATGAATGTTGACCCTTCAAAAGCTATGGGAAATGGCTGTGTTGCTAGTTCCAGCAATTCAAATAATCCTAGGACATATCTTGCTAATGGAGGATCTCTGGACAATTCATGCAATCATCTAAGCGATGACTTCTCATTCCCATCTGGGGGCATTCCCTCATTACGATTACCTGTGGTAGTTGTATTCAGCCCATTCATTTGCATTTCATTTCTGTAATATTTGTTTGTTAGAGGCAGATATATTTATAGTATGACTTTCTGCTATGTTTGACTAAGAAACTGAACGATCAGCATGATCCTGACCAAAACTCTGCTATGCTTACCGTGGACCTGCTCCTTATTTTAGGAGAGTTGCAACTTTTTCGTAGTGGGGGATTTTTTTTTTTTTTGGGGGGGGGTTAGGGTTGGTCTTCAAAAAAATTTTTAACCATGCACCAATTTACCAGTTGAACAAGAACACCTGATAAAGATTGAAAGGCCGCTTGAGACTCCTGCTTAATTGAATTTTAGTTGGATTTGATCTTTCTATTTAACATCAGTATTGCTGCTAAGCATAAAAATTCTCTATTGAAGTCCTAGTTAATAAGCATGAAGCCATCAACTTACCTTCCATCCATAATTTTGGAGATTAGAATAATACATCTCGACTAAGTTTTGAATGTTTGATGAATCAAGTGCATGGGAAATGTACTATATGCTCTGAAGTTTCTTGATACGAATTTTATTTCATTGAGCATTGTTTAGTAAAGTACTCCCTTCGATCCACTTTATTGGTCACCTTCTAGAAGGGTGAAGTGGTCCACTTTATAAGTCATTTGATTAATAGTGATGTTTTATTTCAAATGAAATGTGTAAATTATCCTTAAAAGGTAAGAGAGAGAGAAACAGAAAAATAATATTATATAGTTTATTTACTTTTTGAGGGTTATGTTTGTAACTTTACTAAATTTTATTCTTTGTACTTTTGTTGTATTAGCATTAATGAGGTTGGTAGAAATGACTTATAAATAGGATTAGAGGGATTATAATTTATTTCCTTTGGTTATCTTATGATGCAACAAACTGTGGATTAGACCAATGAAGATGGGTTTGGTAAATATCATATGAGCAGGTCATAATAGTGTGAAAAAAAAAGGGACTCTACAATGGTGCCTAATCTTTCCTACTCCCCCTTTGAAGCAATCCATTCACTCAAGTAAGCTAGGTGGTGGTAATGGGTTTCTGAAACAATTCTTTACATGCTGTATTGATTTTTGTCCTTTGACCTGAAGTGCAAGTAGCTGTATAAAGCAATCGAAATTGAGAAGTGATTATGAGACTTCCTACATGTGAAAATACCCAATGACGCCCCCTTCTTTGGTTTAATATTATTCTTGAATTTACAAAGACAAGAGGAAAGAAAATGAGTAAAAGCTTTGACATGATTTTGAAGCTTCTCTTATTTTTGGTTAACCATTGATTTGAGAAATGTCCACGATTTCACATACGCTTTTATTGCATTGGGAAAGGAAGGATTCACTTTGACATGGCAGTTGCCTTTCACATGGCACTGATCACTTACATTTTTAAAGTACCAGAATTAGAGTAGATGTTTTGAGATGTTCTCTATGGATTAAAAAAAAAAAAGACCATTACTGAAGAAAGAAGAGGCTGATACTTCATTTTTTGTCTTAATTATTCTATTCAATATAGTTTTTGTCATGTTTCTTGATACTTTATAAGAGAGGAAGAAAGAAAAGATGGTGCTCCAGTAGTCTCTTTCTCAATCTCTGACGTTGACAATGGCTTGTTTGAGACTTTGCACGTTGCAATACTGAGTCATATAACATGTGTAGGTAACCAACCATGAGACTAGCTTGGTGGCTCGATGTCGTAGAGTATATGCCCATGCTCATGATTACCATATCAATTCTATTTCAAATAACAGGTAAATATAGAGACTTTTTAAGTGTTCATTGTGAAATCTTTTTTGTGTCTTGTAACTTTGACTGGTTATGTATTTTGTTTTGTTGGAGTGTTACTTCATGGGATGCATTTGCTTTGTAAAACTAAACATTTTTCATTTCATGTATAATTAGTTGCGATTCTTTTTCATCCATTTTGTTTTCTTTGTACTGAGTACTCATTGAACTGGATTATTGTATGTTGGTCATTGTTGTAGTGATGGTGAAACTTTCATATCAGCTGATGATTTGCGAATAAATCTTTGGAACCTGGAAATCAGCAATCAAAGTTTCAATATTGTTGATGTAAAACCTGCAAACATGGAAGATCTGACTGGTAAGCTAACCTTCTATATTTTTCATGGCCACTGATAGTATTTTGTATTTTATAATTTTCATTTGTTCACTCTCATTTCAAGGTTTTTACTTGGTGTTCTTATGTTCTTTGAAACATTATTGCCCTAAGTCAGTTGTTTCTAATTTTGTATGATTGATTTTTTTTCGCTTTTGAATTAAAACTTTTTTCCAGGGATGTAAGAGACAATGCAGTTTGTAGCCTACTATTCATTTGATCTTTCTTGTTACAAGGCAGTTACCTTTGTGGATGATGTGCCTCTGAAATGTCACGGATGACTGCATTACTTTTGACATTTGATATGCTTCATTGTGTGAATTCCTCCTTGTTGTTTTCCCCCTTTGAATGATTTCCCTTTTATCCTCTTGATTTCCTTTTTTTTTTCCCCTGGGGGTAACATGCTAAGGGGTAAACAAGAACTCGGTTACTTCCACTCCCTGTTTTGCTTGAGTACGCTTAAAACTTTGCTCTCTTGTTGCACTAAAATGCAATTAATTAAGTTTCTAAAACTTTTCTTCCTTGCCAGCTTGCATCTTATTTGATTGACACATTACTTCTTTGATATTGCTTTTGCAGAGGTTATAACATCAGCAGAGTTCCATCCTATGCATTGCAATATGTTGGCATACAGCAGTTCAAAGGGTTCAATACGACTTGTTGACTTGCGGCAATCAGCATTATGTGATTCTCATGCAAAACTGTAAGCTTATTTTTGGTTGTTTTATACTTGATCATCTTATTGGGCCTTAAAGATTAAGTTACTCCATACTCCTACAAAAGAAAAAAAAAGGATGACATTCTCCCTTAGTCTGGCTTATAGGTTCGTAATACATGTGATAATGGGCAAAATTACAGGAATGAAGATGACTTATTAGTGTGCATAATCAAAATGATCCTTATGGAGAAAAGAATTTTATGAAGCTTATTCTACCTGCATCTATATAATTTCTTATTTCTTGTAGGCTCTTAGATGCATTGTCATTTGTTACAGATTTGAGGAACAGGAGGCCCCTGGATCCAGATCATTTTTCACAGAGATCATTGCTTCTATCTCAGACATAAAATTTGGGAAGGATGGAAGATACATTCTTAGCCGTGATTACATGACTCTAAAGGTATTAAATTTCATATATTTATTATTCATCCTTTTGATAGGTTGTCGCAATGTAAATTTTAGATTGGGATACCCTGGGCTTGCTGAATTATGACAAGCAAGGATTTTTTTATTATTTAATTTATTTATGAATTTCCTTTCTATGTTCTTGCAATATTGAGCTGTATCTTGTTTTCATTGGGTATCTTCTACTTATTTTGACTTGTTTTATATCTGAGATTTTGCTCAAGATTTGACTACACTGTAACCAAGTTTTGTGGACTGCATAGAGATATTCTGCCTTATCTCATGGTTTCTCATTCATTATTGTCATGGTTTTTGGTCAGTTGTGGGACATTAATATGGATTCTGGTCCAGTTGCAACTTTCCAGGTTCATGAGTATCTAAGACCTAAGGTCAGATTCCTGTATGAAGAAAGAATAGAAATGGATTTCTACTGCTTTATTGAATCATAGTCAGCTGTGCTTTTGTTTCAATGTGCCAGTTATGTGATTTATATGAGAATGACTCAATTTTTGACAAGTTCGAGTGTTGTCTGAGTGGTGATGGATTGCGTGTTGCAACTGGTTCTTACAGGTCTCTAATACAAAACTATTTCTGTTGCTTTAATTGAAAATTCTTAGCCTGCGTCTGACATTTTTTCTCTCTTTTCTTTTTCATTGATGTACCAGCAACCTTTTCCGTGTGTTTGGTTGCACCGCAGGAAGTTCTGAAGCTACAACTTTGGAAGCCAGTAAAAATCCAATGAGGTGATTTTATGGGAAAGTTCTAATACCGTGTATGATACATTTAGGCATTGGAGCACCTACGTGATTAACCTTTTTATTTCCCTAGGCGACAAGTTCCAACCCCTTCAAGACCATCAAGATCACTTGGGAGTAGTTTAACACGGGTTGTAAGACGAGGTTACTTCTCTCTCCCTTTTCTTTTTTTTAACTTGTCTAACTCGGAGCTTTTTTTTTTTTTTTTTTTAGAATACAACATATTTGTCATGACTTCCATCATTTGGTAATCTTAATAGGAGCAGAAAGTGCTAGTGCTGATGCAAATGGGAATTCTTTTGATTTCACAACAAAGTTACTGCACCTAGCATGGCACCCAACTGAAAATTTAACTGCGTGTGCTGCTGCAAATAGCTTGTACATGTACTATGCATAAAGGAATAATGCTCGAAGAGGACATGTATTGCGCGGTTAACCTGCTCGTGGGTTGCCATGGACAAGGCTTCTGTGCCCCTTCCTACCACCATTGAATTGGAGGCTACGTTGACTCTACAAAATTGCCCTTCAGATTCAGAGTCTTTATAGCAGGAAGCTTCTTGGAAAAAGAATGAAAGGTGGCTGATATCAAATTCTCGGCTAGGCAGGCATGATTTTGTTCCGGACTGGCAGCATCTCTCTTCTTCCTTGTTCTTTTACTTTTGGCATTCCCCGTCTGACGATCCTAGTATTCTTACCCTCCCCTTTTTCTTCATCTTCTTTTGAAAGAGAAGGTGCAGTTGCTCAATGTTTCAAAATTGTGTTTTGGCTTGCAAGTGAAGAAGAAAATGTGATTGTAGCTCTCCTACAACGATACTAAAGGATGTTCAATATCTGCCATTAGGATTAAGATAAAATGTAGTTTTTTCCCTTTTGCTGGAATTTCTTGGTGGGATGAAGCTGTTGAATCTTGCAGTGCATCATTTTTTCATTGATTATTTTTGTGTTGGAATATAATTTGACGATGTTTTAGAACATACTTTTTTGTTGTATCAGTTTATTGTATAAGAAACCTAATAAAGTATTAGTTTTAGGTTACTATGCAGGAGTAATTTTTGTTTGGATTACATACATCTACATGTTTTGTCCAAAATAAATTCCCTTAATGGTGATTTTAACAGTGCTTTCCTTCCATCGACATGCCTTTTAACTTGTTTGAATTTTCATACACGATCATCACATTGCTCTAATATCAAAAGAAACTCTCGACAACTCTCAATGATATTATCATTAGTCGTCGTCATCAAGCACCTTCAAGAGTCCCCCAAAAAAAGGTGTTAATCAGGATTTTGATGTTCGAAAATAGGTACTAAAAATTTAGATTTTGCTTTTAATTTGTAACATACGTAACATAACCCCAGCATTACAAATGTATTGTAGAAATAGTTGGAAAGAGTGATGGCATGCGTGAGATCTGTATGCTTTCTTACAAGTATATTACCATGCATGACTGTATTTGAACAGTCATGCAAAAATGATTACTATCTGGTAAAGGTGGCAAGCCTTAAGCCTAGTAGGGGTTAAGATGATGTGACCCTTTTTCTCCGTATCTCTTTATCATCAGTGCCGAGGTACTCTCACCAGGGTTTTGGAGCAAAGTTGACGGGAATAAAGGAAAAGGCATTGCCCAGTTTAATCTCTTCTTCTTTCTTTCTTTCTTTTTTTGGTTGCCCCAGATGATGCCTTGTTTTTCATGAAAACTAAGCTGAAAGATTGCTTGAAGGAAACATTTAAAATCGTCACCAGAGTAGAAAGCAAATCCTTCGAAATCAGGGATTTACTTTTTCACGGAACACACTAGAGGATCTTAGAGAAGAGGTGTGCAAGGTGATGGAGATTCAATAAACACTGGATTGTGGAAATTAAAGCATCTTAAATTACCAATTTTACGAGGCAGGTGGAAAAATGAGTCCCTTGCTTTAATTCAAGATATAATATTATAGAAGACAAAGGATAGATGAGCTGTCTTCTCTCTAATGCTGGGAAGGAAATAATTATGATCAAGGTGGTCGTTAATGTTATACCAGCAGTGTATCTGATAACAATGCTTTAATTTCCCTCAAAAAGACTAGTGAATAGCTGGACAGACTTGATTTCTAGATTCTGGTGGGGCCAAGCACAAGGGGAAAGGTGCATATTTTAGAAATCATGGTTAATATCATGGGGAATTATGGGCAGAAAAGTCTTCAAAGGGATTTACTTTCCTAATTCCTCGTTCCTACATTCTGAAAATTGATCTGATGTAGCTGTTGGGAAGTGGCAGACCAAGAAAGTTGTGGGAAGATCCTTGAGTCCATAGCACAAAATGCTGAAATAGGAAGCACTGCAGGTAGTAGAAGATGAACCGAATTTGAAGGCTACTGATGTGATAGTGAATAGGTAGAGGAATCTGAACGTGCTAAATGGAAACCATCTGACATTGATTATGCGGAGGAGGAAAAAAAAGATTCCTATTCAAGTGATGGCTAGGAAGGGAATGATATGTGAAAACAGGTTATAAAATTATGAAGAATAAGGGAAATAGAATTAATGATTTGAGAACTACAGAAGATGAAGATTTGGAAATTAAAACACCCCCAAAGTTGAAGATCACTTCTTATGGAGAGTGGTATCAAATGTATTGACTACAACAGAGTGCTTTATTTAGAAGAACCCCCTGCCGTACAGTGTGTGAAAAGGAAGCAGAACCTCTGGAACATGTGATATGCATCTCTTTGAATTTGAGGGAGTGGATGAGTCTTAGAAGACTGAATTTGCAAGCATGTGATAGGAAAACCTGGAAGGAGTTGGTAGTGTTTCAAAAGAAGCAGGTAGACCCTATTGGTGTTATCACAAAAAAAAACAGAGAGAGAGAGAGAGAGAGAGAGGAAGATCAACAAGAGAGGAAAATGTAGAAACTTGCAGCTGGTGGCCAAGTGAAGCTGAATTCTGATGGTTTTTTCAACTCTAAGCAGAGTCTGGTCAGCGTAATTGAGAGAAATGAATTACATTGACTAGTGATTTTGTATTTGATATTATAATTTTATAATAAATGTTGTTGGTTGAATTGGGATGTGTAGCATTAACTCTCCATAATGTAATACTTAAAAAGATGTCAAATATGCATGCATCTTATTTGAGGACTATTTTCAGATTATTATACACCTATTATATAATGGGGGGTATTCTCTAAAATTTAATCCGTATATATGTGAAACTAGACAGTGGGGAAAAAAAAAAAAAGGATTAATTGGCATAATTAAACAGAGACAAATATGTGCCATCAATTGAATGAGAGGACGTAGAAGATGATTCAAAAAATGATATGTGGAGTAACTTAATGG